CCCGGGGCCCGGCGAGAGCCTCGACGCCAAAAGTTGCAAAACACCTCCGCCTCGATTTTTCCAATGCGTTGGATCTCCAGGTCCTCCTCCGAGAGCCATGGCGTCGTTGCGCGCCCTGCGCGCGGGAAGAAGCCCGCGGCGGCGCTCGGAGGAGCGAGTCGGGGATCTTCTGACCCGGGTCAATCCAGACCCGGGTCAGTCAGGTCTTGCAGGCTCCTGCAGGATCATGCACCCAAGCCCGGGTCAGAGCGACCCTGGCCCTGCAGGATCCTGCAGGATCCGGCGCTCTGGCTGACCCCTGTTTGCATTGACCCCCGTCTCTTCAGCCCCGAGGGGTTGCCGGGGAGGAGGAGGAGGAGGAGGAGGAGGAGGAGGAGGAGGAGGAGGAGGAGGAGGAGGAGGAGGAGAAGGAGGAGGACGAGGAGGAGGAGGAGAAGGAGGAGGAGGAGGAGGAAGAGGAGGGAGGGGGAGGGGATCTGCTGTTTTTCCGGGGCGCTCTGGCTGACCCCCGTTTGCCTTGACCCCGTCTCTTGAGCCCCGAGCGAGGGCCGGAGGCGGGGGGGGCGTCCGGCCCCTGTGGGGGCCACAGATCTGGCCGGGCTCAGCGCGCGTCCCACAAAAACGCCCAAGCCCGGCCTCCACGGAGCAGGGTGGAGGGCTCAGGGTGGAATCCGTATTGGGCCCTTGCACCTGAAAAACGACCTTTTGCAGGTTCGAGCCTCGAAGATCCATCGAAGCGGCATTTCAGATTGCACCCCTTGCCCTCCAGTGCTGACGAATGACAGTGATAAGCGTGATGAGTCGAACACGTACCAGAGAGACAGCTGCTTCCCAGCATCGGTGTCTCAGACAATGATGACCAATATCTGCACGGCCCACTTGGACACGACGAGAGAAGCCTCAATTACTGGTTTACACAAAGGGGGGACGATACGATTTGAATGGCCGCTCCAACCCGGTTGGATGCCAGTAGCACCTGTGAGGGCGAGCGAGCAGACAGGCACGACATCTGAACAAAGGGGTGGAGTTGCATTTCGGACGACGTTGAGGTGGATGAAGTCGTGGTACAAGTCAGGAGGACAGTGCACGTGGAGGAGGTTGCGGTCGTGGAAGACAAAGTGGAGGATGATGAGGAGGACACGCGCGTCCTCTGATGCAGGGCAGTCGGGCAAGCAGGCGGGCATGAGGGCAGGTTGCCAGGCACCAGGCAGGCACACGCCCAGGCATATACGGGCCATGGGCACTCTCTTAACGTGCAGCCGACTCCCCCTCCTCTGGCCTCTTCGGGTCATAGCTCTCGGGTCCCTGGCGGCCGTTCGCGACGGCTCGGGCACCTCGGACTCCGCTCTCGGCGAGCACCACTGCCGGAGTGCACCCCGAGGCAAGAACAACACCGGGTCATCGCTCTCGGGTCCCTGGCGGCCGTTGGTGACGACCCCGGGCACCTCGGACTCCGCTCTCGGCAAGCACCGCTGCTGGAAGGCATCCCCCGAGGTAGGAGGAACGCCTCCATAGTGTGCACACCCCGAGCGCACGAGAGGCTTCGCACGCGCCCTTGGAGCCAGTCGCCCTTGGGCACGGCCTTCAGGGCCGGCTTCAGGCAGCGCAGGTGGGCACCTCTCGTCCCGCCCACCGGCGCGAAAAACGGCGGGCAGCGCCATACTGCTGCTGCTGCTGCTGCTGCTGCTGCTGCTGCTGCTGCTGCTGCTGCTGCTTCTGCTGCTGCCTTCACCTCATCAAAAGCTTGTCGCCCTCCCTCGTCCTGCTCCTCCTCGACCCCCTCCTCCTCCTCCTCCTCCTCCTCCTCCTCCTCCTCCTCCTCCTCCTCCTCCTCCTCCCCCAGATCAAGCAGGTCCTGCTCCTCCTCCTCCCCCCCGAAGCCCCTTCGCGATCGCCTCTATATCCCCTCCTCCTGCCTCCTGCGGCTCTCCGTTCTCTCCCCATCCAAATAACCCTCTTCCTGCTCCACCCCCGCTAGCTCCTCTCCCCCGTGCACGTCGCCCCTCTCCTGCTCCCTCTCCAGCTTCTTCTCCTGCTCCGCCTCCGCCTCCCCTCACCCCTACTCGCTCATCCTTACTCCTCCTCCTCCACCCCCTCCCCCCCATTTCCTCATTCCCCACTTCTGCTGTTCATCCTCTGCCTCCTCCTTCTAGTCCAGCTCCAACCGAGATCTGCATGAGGCCTGGCCAGTCTAGAACGCCAGCTCTTTCGCATAATGGAACAGACAATGATAGGCTGTGAGATGAGCTAATGATGCTGATGAGCGCGATCCAGCCGAGGGGTCTGCAAGGGGACGGCAGAGGGAAGAGATGGCGGAGGCGGGCAAGAACTCGAAAGGACAATTACGCTACCGAGGAACCCCACATACTTAACTTAAATATTGAGTGTTTGCTTAAGTTTATAATATATGTGCAATTCTGCGTTCTCAGCCCTCGTCGCGAATGTTCCCCTATGTGTCATCCAACGCCATATTGCTTGAACCTCCTCCCTCTTCCTAGCCTTCTATCCTCCGTCGAGGACAGATTCGAGCCAGCCAGCGGCCGCGGTGAGGGACCACCCCCTGCGCACCCCCAGTGGTGTCGAGAAAATGCCGCGCCTGCTATGCCCTGGACGACCGTCGTGCATAGCGGCCGCGGTGAGGGACCACCCCCTGCGCAGCCTCTATGGTGTCGAGAAAGTGCCACGCCTGCTATGCCCTGGACGACCGTCGTGCATAGCGGCCGCGCTGAGGGACCACCCTCTGCGCACCTCCTGTGGTGTCGAGAAAGTGCCACTCCTGCCACGATCTGCGAGCGTGTCACGGATAGAGGCCGCGCTGAGGGACCACCCTCTGCGCACCCCCTGTGGTGTCGAGAAAGTGCCACTCCTGCCAAGATCTGCGAGCGTGTCACGGATAGAGGCCGCGCTGAGGGACCACCCTCTGCGCACCCCCTGTGGTGTCGAGCAAGTGCCACTCATGCCACGATCTGCGAGCGTGTCACGGATACAGGCCGCGCTGAGGGACCACCACCCTCTGCGCACCCCCTGTGGTGTCGAGACAGTGCCACTCCTGCCACGATCTGCGAGCGTGTCACGGATAGAGGCCGCGCTGAGGGACCACCCTCTGCGCACCCCCTGTGGCGTCGAGAAAGTGCCACTCCTGCCACGATCTGCGAGCGTGTCACGGATAGAGGCCGCGCTGAGGGACCACCCTCTGCGCACCCCCTGTGGTGTCGAGAAAGTGCCACTCCTGCCACGATCTGCGAGCGTGTCACGGATAGAGGCCGCGCTGAGGGACCACCCTCTGCGCACCCCCTGTGGTGTCGAGAAAGTGCCACTCCTGCCACGATCTGCGAGCGTGTCACGGATAGAGGCCGCGCTGAGGGACCACCCTCTGCGCACCCCCTGTGGTGTCGAGAAAGTGCCACTCCTGCCACGATCTGCGAGCGTGTCACGGATAGAGGCCGCGCTGAGGGACCACCCTCTGCGCACCCCCTGTGGTGTCGAGAAAGTGCCACTCCTGCCACGATCTGCGAGCGTGTCACGGATAGAGGGACCACCCTCTGCGCACCCCCTGTGGTGTCGAGAAAGGACCACCGAGCGTCTAGCGCCGCGCTGAGGGACCACCCTCTGCGCACCCCCTGTGGCGTCGAGAAAGTGCCACTCCTGCCACGATCTGCGAGCGTGTCACGGATAGAGGCCGCGCTGAGGGACCACCCTCTGCGCACCCCCTGTGGTGTCGAGAAAGTGCCACGCCTGCCACGATCTGCGAGCGTGTCACGGATAGAGGCCGCGCTGAGGGACCACCCTCTGCGCACCCCCTGCGGCCTCGAGAAAATGCCACTCCTGCCACGATCTGCGAGCGTGTCACGGATAGAGGCCGCGCTGAGGGACCACCCTCTGCGCACCCCCTCCGGTGTCGAGAAAGTGCCACGCGTGCCACGATCTGCGAGCGTGTCACGGATAGAGGCCGCGCTGAGGGACCACCCTCTGCGCACCCCCACCCCCTGTGGCGTCGAAGGAATGCCATGTGTGGTATGATGTGCTGTGCTGTGCTGTGCTGTGCTGCTGTGCGGTGAGCTGTTCTGTGCCGTGCCGTGCCGTGCCGTGCCGTGCTGTGCTGTGCGAGAAGGAGAAGGGGAGGGGGGAGGTGTGAGACGCGGGTGCGGCGCGGCAGGGAAGAAAACCAGAACCCCACGAAACATGTGGGGAATGATGACGGGAGACAATGAAGAACGAGAAAGAGGCGATGGAAGAAGAGACGGATGAGCCCGTAGCCATACATATGTTTGACTCAAGGAGGCAAGCCTGTGGAACTGGCTAATGCAGGCACCCGTTTCCATATCGAAAAGGTCTTAAGACCACTGGCGTACCATCAACTGACATGAGCTTCCACATTGCACACGTCATGAAGGCACACCGTATTATGATATTGCTGCATGTTCAACTCACGCCCATGCTGTCCGACGGCACTGGCGTCCACTACGAGGGCCTGCCTCAGGAAGTCCGTCGAACTTGAAACCAACATCCGATTGTTAACAAAGATGCCAGTCTCATCTCTGTTGTGCTTTTGGCAGCACCGACGATTGCATCCGACACATATCGCAAACCAGCAATCTCAAACATCGCCAACGAGGTCAGAACCGTTCCCATGCCTTCGATGATGATGATGCTGATGATGACGATGACGATGACGATGACGATGACGATGATGATGATGATGATGATGATGATGATGATGATGATGATGATGATGATGATGATGATGATGATAAGGATGATGCTGCTGATAATGTTGATGTTGATGATGATGATGATGATGATGATGATGATGATGATGATGATGATGATGATGATGATGATGATGATGATGATGATGATGATGATTTCACCTCTCCTGCTCCCCCGCCCCTCCCCGCCGGTCCCAGCGACGACCTACAGCGACGGCGGCGGCGGCGACGACCAGCACTGGGAGCCAAGCCCAGCACCGTTGGTGCACTCCTTGCCGAACCCGTCGCAGATCAGGAGCTCGCCCTCGGGTTCCGCGAGCCCGCACGTGCTGCACACGGCGGAGAGCTCGAGCTCCTCCTAGAGGCGAAAGAGCAGTGGGAGGAGGAGGAGGAGGAGGAGGAGGAGGAGGAGGAGGAGGGGGAGGAGGAGGAGAAGGAGGAGGAGGAGGAGGAGGAGGAGGAGGAGGAGGAGGAGGAGGAGCAGAGAGCGGAGGAGGAGGAGGAGGAGGAGGAGGAGGAGGAGGAGGAGGAGGAGGAAGACGATCGAAGATCGTGGTGTGGGGTGTTGCCAGTGGCGTCCCTGGCCCGAGATGCTCCTGGGCAGTGCCACGGGATGTCACCACACAGGGGGCCGCTGCCTCCTCCAGAAAACAAAAGCCCTGGACACCCAGTGCTCCCTGAAGGACTCCCAGAGGCGCCCCCAAACCTCCAAACACCTCAGCGACCCTTGATCCAAGACGAAGCCAGGACGAGGATAACATCGGGTGAAGAAAAAAGCGAGAAACTCTGAGATCCGGCGGTTTTGGAGGATTTCTCGGGCGCCGCGGCCTTCTCAGAGCGCTCCAGAACGCTCTGAGAGCGTTCCGGACTGCTCTGGAACGGATTTATCCAAGTCCTAGCCCCGTCCGGCGATCCTGCCTCCTCCTCCTTGACCCCCGGCTTCCAGGAGGGGGTGGTGACCCCCTCTGGTGGTGGCCCCTCTGGGCACTACCCGGGGGCCTCGGATGGCGAGCGGAGCCCTCCCTCCTTCCCTTGCCCGCCTCGCCACCGCGGGGACGACGCCAACGCCCTGCGGGGCCCGCTTGGCACGGGCAGGCTGCTGAAAGCGCAGCAGGCGGCACCACCCGGCGCCCAGCCCGCAGCTGCCGCTCCCCTCCGCTGTCAGGGGCCTTCGGAGAGCAAGAACGAAGCCGAAGCCACGTCGGTCGGATGAAGCCATCAGTGTGGAAAAAGATGGGACAAGTGCAGATGTTCTGGCACTGGGCTCGAATGCATGCCCTAAGGGTTCGCGGGGGGGGGGCGAAGATCCGTTGTCCTCCGCCCTGGACAGAGACAATGGCTGCTTCAGCCCGTGGGGCGCCGCTGTTCGACAGTCTTGTGCTTCACTTTGGCTTTGGCTGTTTGCACTGCTGCCGTCGTGCCGTCGTGGCACGGCTTCTGACCTGACCCAGCACGAGGCTGCGTCCTGCTCGCCGCCACCGCTGCCGCCGCCAAGAAAGCGCGCGGCAGAGAGAGAGAGAGAGAGCGAGAGGGAGAGAGATGTAGCTCCCTCTCGCCAGGGAGCCCACAAAACGCACGCACCCAACCATACACATGAATACGGCCCCCAAGCCGCGAGACCAGTCTTGTGATACGAACGTTCGCGCAATGCAAACCCTGATGGGCAACGATAAGGGCGCCTGGCATGGGGGGGTGCACCGACCTGGAATCGGCGATACATCGCCGATGGATCAGCGGTAGGCCCCCGATTGCAGACCGCACCGACCTGGGCGGGGTGGTGCTATGAGATCCCAAATCGGGGTGGGGCGATTCGGGGTCGATGCGTCCCCCCTTCTGCCTATCCCCCCGATATCGTTGCCTCTGCGTGCCCAGTTCGAAAGCAACGTGGATACCTGTACGTGCACGTCTTCCCTTCGCCCCCGACTCGCGGGAGGCCCCAGCAGCAGACCGCCCGCCGACCTCGAACGCCGAGGCCGCGGCGCGCGCCCTTCGCCGGCGCCGCCCGGGCTGGGCACCCGGCAGGCCGAGGCTCGGGGCGGCGGAGGAGCGGTGGCACAACGAAGGGCATGGCGACCCCACCCTCCGACGTCGGGGGAGCTTTGCACCAAATGGGGGGCCCAGCTCGGGGCTATGCGGTGGGTGGGGGGGCGCTCGTCCTCGACAAGGGTTGCGCCCCAATGCGGCTCCCGGAGGGTACGTGCCCGAGTTGTTTTTTCTGGGCGACCTGATGTTTCGGGGCAGGAGCTCAGGGGGCGGGGGCGAACAGATACATACATCGCATGTGATGAAGGGGCTCTCCCAGCGCTGTCCTCCGCCACTTCGCTCGAAAGTGGCGCTCTCGCGCGCAGCCTGTCCTGGGACGCTCTCCCGCGCGCTTCCAAGATACCCGCTGGCGCTGGCTCGGAGCTCCAGCTGCAACGCACGCAGAAGAGTGACCTCAAGCATAAACGAATTTGATGCACGACGTTGAGAGAGCTGCAGGGAGGCCATATCCAACCGCACAGGCAAGTGCTGGGGGGGGACCCTGTGGCCCCGCACCAGACAGTCCCTCTGGCAAAAAATACTCTTCCCAGACAAGCGAGATCTTGCGTTCGATTTCGCCTCTGGGGCGGCTGCCGTAGGCCACAGCGGGGCGTTTGCTCGTCCACGCCAGGGTGCGAGTGCGGCCAAAAGGCCAGAATCAAAACCGATATTCACGTCCGGCGTGCCTTCTCCTTCCTCCTCCTCCTCCTCCTCCTCCTCCTCCTCCTCCTTCTCATCATCCCTCCCTCCCTCCCTCCCTTCCTCCCTCCCTCCCTCCCTCCCTCCCTCCCTCCCTCCCTCCCCCCCTGAAAAAAGTCTGGGGGCACTCGAAAGGGTTCCCAACCCAGCCACCAAGGGGGACGCCCAAACCTTGGGATTATGGTCCCGGGTCCCTGGCTACGAAAAGCGCCACCTACCAGACACAGCCTCTTGGAGAACTGGTCGTGTGGCTTTCCGCCGTGCAATTGCAAGTTCGAGTACTGAACTAAATAGCGCAATGAGAAATTCAAGCAGAGGCGGCCTGGCAGTGCCGGAGGAGAGGAGGAGGAAGAGAGGGCGTCGGGCGGGGGGCGGTCGGGGTGGTCGTCCTGGTGGCAGTGAAAATCGGCGCGCCAGTGGTAGTCGTAGTAGTCGGGGTGGTGGTGGTTGCGGCCGGCGCTGTGGTAGATGCGGCGGTTGTTGCAATACTATCGTCGTCGAACTACTATCCGCCAGGCGCTAATAATGGTGGTGGTTATCGTGGTCGGCGTCAGGGGTCGGTAGGGCTGAAAGTGGTGGTCGTTGTGGTGGTGCTGGTGGCCGTGGTGGGAGTCGCGGCGGTTGGAAAGGTGTCGTTGTGCTGGTGGTGGTGGTGCTTCTGGCGGTTGTCATGCTGGGGCTACTGGCGGTGAGAGCCGCGGAAGCAGCCAGCTGGCCCTTACCGCCCCAGGGCGCTCAAGATCATCTCCGCACTCCCTTGTTGAACGGTGCGCGAAATGTCCGCTAGATCCGGTTCAGGAGCTCAGAACGGTCGAGGACATCACGAGAAGCGCCGAAGCACCGAACGAAGCTTACAGCTTTGTCGGACGGCCGCCCCCGGGTCTCGATCGGACTAGGTCTAGGCTCTCCCAGGGGGGGTTAGCGGTCGCGTTTGTCCTCGACCATCTGGGCCGAAACGTGCCCATCCCGTTCCGCTCGGGCGTACCTACGTGGGGCGTAGGTGGAGTGTGCGCAGGTCGGCCACTGCTGGGGTCGTGCGTCTGGATGTCCAACTTTGCCTCCCCAAAGACCCCAATCTGGGGATTACGGCGGTCCCGCGCTGGATCCCGTTGCTCCGCTGGCGCAGCTTGGCCCGTGATGTCCTTATGCATAGCTGCGTGTTGGTCACGGAGGCGGTCGTGCCGAGCAGCGCGGGATTGGCCCACCACGCATGAGTTGGCATGGGCCCCGTGTGGGTCGAGGGCCTCTCCACACTGCGTGCCGTCGCGTCGTCAGCGTCGGCAGCGTGAGCCAGCGGGGCAGACCGGCGCACGAAGCTGGCACATGAGGCTCACCTCGAGCTGGTCGTCTGGCTGGCTGCACAGGGTCTCATGGTTGCCGCGGCTGGAGAAACGCCCCTGCGCCCACGCCGCCGCACCCCTGGAGCGCCCGGGAGCTCCCGCAGCAACCGTTCTCTCTTTCTCATGGAGGCCACATTGCTCCACGCGCCGTGGAGCTTAGCGTGGAGCTCCTGGAAACTATGGGCCTAGTCAAATGGGCTGTCCGTCAGTCGCCCCTGAAGAGCGCTTGTACTGTTCGCGGGCACCGCGTCTGGAACTCCTCCAGCGTGCTCACGTCCAGGCACTTGGCCACGTCGTGGAGGCAGAGCGCCCAGCTCGCGGCGTAGGCTGTTGGCGCTGTCTGGGCGGCGGACGGGATGGCGCACCCTCCGTCGGTGAGGCGCATTGTGGCTTGCAGCCTCTGGAGCTCGTCCAACTGGCTCACGCGAAGTATGTGTCCTAGGGCCGAGAACACCACCGTGTCGAGCTCCTGCACCCATTTGCTGTGCAGATTGGCTCGCAGGTGGTGAATGACGCATCATGGTGCGAAGGTTCGCAGTAGAGTGAGGTAAGCCTCGGCGAAAAGTCTGGCTCCCTCGCAGTTCTGGGGGTCGCCGAGTGAGGGTCTGCGCCCGCTGCACTGCCGCCGCTCCCTCTGCCCCCGTGTGCACTATCACCTTGTCCTCCCGACGGTCTAACCATGGCGCTGCGTTGCCTAAGCACTTTCCCTCCCTCCTTCCCTCCTTCCCTCCCCCCCTCCCCCCCTCCCTCCCTCCCTCCTCCCCCATCCTCCTCCTCCTCCCCACCCTCCTCCTCCTTCTCCAACTCCTCTTTCTCCACGTCCTCCTCTTTCTCCTTCTCCTCCTCCTCCTCCTCCTCCTCCTCCTCCTCCTCCTCCTCCTCCCTCCTTTCTCTTTCCCCCCCTCCGCTGCCCGCTCCTCGTTGAGCTGGCGCAGCCCGGCTGCGGACAAGCCCTCCCGCATGGTGGCCTGCGACGAGCCGCTCGCCAGGAGGCGCACGGTGACACCGCCCGCCGGGGCGCCCTGCTCCCCTCGAGAAGGGGGGGGGGAGGGTGCCTCCGCCTCCTCCCTCCTCCCCTCCGTCCTTTCTCCTTCCTCCTTCTTTCTACCTCCTCCCTCCCCACTCCTCCTTCCTCACCCCCCCTTCTCCTCCTTTTCCGCCTCGTCCATTCCCTCTCCTCATGAATAACTTTTCCCTTTCGCACCTCGAGGCCAGTCAGAAGGGCGGGCAGGGCGTTTCGCCTGAGGCTTCCTCACCGCTTACGATTCTGAAGCTTAGAGGTTGGCAGAAGTTTCGCAAATGGAGGGCGGGTGTTTTTATATATTATAAAAAAGGCTGTGTTCGCTCTAACGCCGCGCACATCCGTCTTAAACATGTGCAAGGGCTTCACGGATTGAGGGCGGGTGGTTTTCAAAATGTGGCTCTCGCCATGGCGACGCGCACATCCGCCTCAAAAAATTGCAGGAGCTTCGCGAATGGAGGGCGGGCCGTTTTCAAAATGTGGTTCTCGCCTTAGCGCCGCGCACATTCATAAAACAAAAGTGCAACAGCGTCAGCAATGGAAGGCGTCCCGTTTAAACTGTTCACGTACCAGTAATGGCGATGTGGCGCGATGTTGGATTGTGAGAGCGCAAAGGTTACGATAATTCGTGGAGCTCACGTCCCACACATTATATTCAGGCACGATTCAGGATCGTCAAGCCACAACGGTAACGGTGATCCGCAGCGTTGAAGTTCCAGGAATGGTGGTCAGGCACAGTACAAGATGTTCAAACGTTTGTTCTCCAACCTGACACCTCCTTCAGTGAGAAAGGATATTGTATGGGTCATGCGAAGAGATAGCTTGGAGGGATGGTTGATTGCAACATCGTTGATGGAGTCTTGGGTTGACACTAGTCCACCTCCTCCCTCCTCCGTCGTCCTTCCTGCGCCTATCTCCGTCTCCGGCTTATCCCTCCTCCTCCTCCTCCTCCTCCTCCTCCTCCTCCTGTCCTCGTCCTCCTCCAATCGGAGCTGCCAAACCTTCGTGCTCGCTCGCTTCCTCGCTCGCCCAGCGGCTCGTTTCCTGACGACACCTGGTTCAAGAGGGTGCGGCCGATCCAGGACAGCACGAGGAGTTCCAGGGGTTTTAGGAGGCTGCTGCCTATCCAGGTGTTTCCAGGTGGACCCAGATCCCTCCCTTAAAGGAGGGTCTTCCTCCTCCTCCTCCTCCTCCTCCTCCTCCTCCTCTTCGCCATCATCATCATCATCATCATCCTCCTCATCATCATCATCAGCAGCATCATCATCATCCTCATCATCAGCATCAGCATTAGCATTAGCATTAGCATCAGCATCAGCATCAGCATCAGCATCATCACCATCCTCATCCTCATCCTCATCCTCATCCTCATCCTCATCCTCATCCTTATCCTCATCCTCATCCTCATCCTCATCCTCATCCTCACCATCCCCATCCTCATCCTCATCCTCATCCTCATCCTCATCCTCATCAACATCAGCATCATCATCATAATCATAATCATCATCATCATCATCCTCATCCTCATCCTCATCCTCATCCTCATCCTCATCATCAGCATGAGCATTAGCATCAGCACCATCGTCATCATCATCAGCATCAGCATCAGCATCATCATCAGCATCAGCATCAGCATCAGCATCAGCATCAGCATCAGCATCAGCATCAGCATCAGCATCAGCATCATCATCATCATCATCATCATCATCATCATCATCATCATCATCATCATCATCATCATCATTCCCCTCCTCCTGTTGCGCTGCCCCTCCCGGGACGTCCGTCGGCTCGGTTTGTTGGAAACATGGGTCCCCAGACCTCTCGATCCCTTCCCCGCGGGCGGGCGTTTCATCCCGCTGACGGTCCTGGGGCCCGAGGCTGGACCCCGCAGGCCGAGAACGAAGAAACACTGGCCGCATCGCTTTTTGTCTGAGCTGCTGGGTGCCTGGCTCCTCCTCACATTCCTCCTCCTCCTCCTCCTCCTCCTCCTCCTCCTCCTCCTCCTCGTTTTTGCGTTGGGTGGCCTAGAGCAACGAAGCTGGAGCGTTCCTCCTCCTCCTCCTCCTCCTTCTCCTCCGCTGGGCCGCCTCCCGGCTCCACCGAGCCGAGTGCCGATGCGCGAGGCAGCACGAAGGGGTGTGCCAGCGAAGCGGCGCCGCGAGGGCGTGGACGTAGGCCCAGCCCCTGGGACCACGAGCAACTCTGAGGGGGTGGGGGGGGGGCCCACGGCGCCGCTACCCCTCTAGCAGGTGTCCCCTCTCCCCCCCCCCCCCTCCCCGGCGGGGATGGGGACCAGAGAGAGGAGGAGGGAGTGGGACGAGCTGCGAGGGGGGCCGATGAGGACGAGGACGAGGAAATGGTGGGAGGAGGGAAGAAGGCAGAGAACGAGGAGGAGAGGCAGGGGGAGGACGGCGGGAGGGCTCCTCACGCACATGGGAGGAGTGTGCGTGAGGAGAGCAGCCAAGAGAGAAAGCCAAAAAGAGAGGACGAGGACGAGGACGAGGACGAGGACGAGGACGAGGACGAGGACGAGGACGACGACGGCGGCGGCAGCGGCGGCGGCGGCGACGACGACACTGCGACGTCTCTCTAGACATTTAGCTGCCAGGTTGTCTTGAACAATCGCGGCCATTGACAGGGCCGGCCTGAACTCGCACGAGAGGCCACGATGCCGACTGCAGACACCCAAAGGTGGGCACCATAGGCCTATCATCATCTACCGGAGGTGTATCATGTGTTCTACACCCGTCATGACTTCACCGTGACTTCCAACACAACCTGTCTAGAAGAAGAGCAACAAACATAAGCATGAACTTTTGGCGCTCCGCGCGAATTCCTTGGATCTGCGCCAGACCCCCCTTCCTGGCGCGCGGAGCGCGCCAGGGGCGGCGCCGGAGGCGCCGCCAGGGGGCCCAGGCGCCGATCTAAGAAAATCCGCGCGGAGCACCAAAAGTACAGGTTTCTGTCAGTTCTCCTTTCCGATTCCAAGAGAACGCTTTCCCCCAGAACTGCCGACGCCTCGACCTGCCCTCACTTCCGCCGCCTTCCCGCCGACGATCCGCCGACGCTCCATCGCGGGACACACCGCCGTCCTATCTTCACTCCCCGCCGGCCTCTCCGCCGAGGGCGAGACGCGCCGACGAGGGGGAGCCCAAGAGGTATGCCGCTGGACCGCTGCCCCCTCGGACCTTTCCTGGGGTGCGGTCTGACCGGAGCTTCGGGGCGCATCCAGCAATGACGACGAGGGCCTCCCAGGAGGCCCGAGGAGGAGGGACGAGTGGCGGTATGGGCCTGCACACGCTGGTCGGAAGAAGCAGGTAGAACCGTGAAGTAGCAAGGCGGAACAGCAGCTTGGGCTCGGGCCCGCCCGGCGAAGAATACAACACAGCCAAAAACACTGACGTCTGAAGCAGGAAGGCGCTAGACGTGGACTGGGACCTGGCCGTCCAGAAATACCCACTCCCGACGACCGCCGTGCACTCCATGTCCTCCCCCGAGGAGGCGAGGCCAGGCCCCGCCCGTGGCAGCGCCCTGCGACGACGAGCGCGGCGGCGAGGACCACGGCCCCAAGAGAGGGGGGGGGCGCGGGGGGGGGCGCGCCGGCCTCCGCAGATGCGCTCCACGCGCCCGTGGCGCCGCCCCCCCGCCAGCGGCACCGCCACGAGCGAGCCCACCCGCAGCAGCCCGGAGCCCTGCGCAGGGGCGAGGCGCCCGACCCACGGGCGCACGCGGCGCGCCCCCCCCCCTCGGGCAGGGTGCCGCCCTCTCTCTCTCGGTGCGCGGCGCGTGCCGCTGGGTGCGCGGCGGAGGCCTCTTGGCCAGCGAGGCGAGCGGCGAGCGCAGGATCGCTGCGCGGCTCGTGCCGAGCGGTCCCCCGAGAGATCCAGCGCATGGAGCAGAAAAAGGCAGGGCGGAGGTGTTTCGCAGCTTTCGGCCTCCTGGGGCCCTCGCCGGGCCCCGGGACCGTCAGAAAAGGACTCATAGGATGAAAAACTTGTCCCGGGGAATGGGTCGAGACTTCCGGGGACCCCGCATGGAAAACATCACGACATCGGATCTCTGGATCCGACCCTCTCGGTGCGCGGCAGGTGCCGATCGGTGCGAGGCGGAGGCTCTGATCCGTAGCCCACCGCTGGGGGCATCGCTCTGCGGAGACCTCGGCAGGCAGTAGATCTGGATGTGTGTGTTGTGCCTGCCCCAACCCCGGGCCCGAGTATATCCGCAACCACCGCCTGCCGAGGTCCCCGAAGATCGATCACACGGGCGGAGGTTGTGAATAAACGCCCGCCCCGGAATCGCTGCATTGCGAGGCGACAGCCCACGACAGCCCAGCCCGTGCGCCTCAACAACACATCCCGCTGCTGCACATTGCACATCCTGGGCCTCGGCGCCAACTTCGAAAGCCGCACGCCAAAGGTTTCTCGAAATCTTGAACCCAAGCGAATTGTATATCTTTGGTGGGCACCTTTTATCTCCACCTGCGTCCGCGGGCCCTCCGACGGCGTCCGCTGGCGGAGCCGCCCTCGCGTTACTTCAGCCGACTTCTGCCAGCCTTCCGCCGCCTTCACCTGAGGAAGGGATGATAACTGCTCGGGACTTAAAGGCGAGGCCATCTTTGCAGCAGGTCACAGGTCGACGACCACCGGTAAGATCTGGCAGAAGCGATGGGACAGTTGGCAACGAGGAGAGCACCGGCGCGCATGAGGATCATGAGGCCAAGGGATTATCCTGACTCGAGGCCTCAGCGCATGCGGAGAGCACCTGTCTAGAGCAAAAATCTGTCAGGGCTCGAGCTGGAACGGGAAGCCACGGAGGGGGACGAGGGACGATGACAAGAAGAGAGAGAAGGCGGGAGGAGGAGGAGGAGGAGTTAGGAGAAAGAGGAAGAAGAGAGACATAGGAAAGTGACGACGACGACGACAACGATAACGACGACGAGGACAACGACAGCGACGGGGGAGCACGTGCGGAGCCAAGAGGGAGCTGAAACTCGGGAGGGTAGACTGTGCAACGCTCTGTCCGCATCCCAAATCACAGCCTCGCCCTTGCCGTCTGGCTCGTCGTCGCTGCTCTCCGCGTCGTCGTCTCCGCTGAGCTCGATGCTTTCCTCGGTCCCGTGCGCACGGCAACAATGCGACGAGTCAGACGGAATCGGAATAGTCAGTGAGGCGACGCAATCTGAAATACGCGGCAAGACGGCGTGTGGTTCAACTCTGAATGAGGGGAGTTTGGGTACAAGGGCAGCATACAAGGCGCAAGTGTCATCTGACAACTCGGGCGGGTTGGAGCCATTTGGGATGTCCGTCCGATTTTTTAATAACATAATACAGCACAGTCGAACTCACACTTTACGCTCCCCCCTAATACCAAACCTCTGCGTTATCGTGCTTCTAGTCCTCCTCTGTTTCCACCGACGCGTTCCTCCTCATTCTGCTCCTGCACTGTCCCTCTTCTGCTCACCTTCCTCCTCACACGCTCCCTCCTCGCAGAACAACCCTATCCATGCTCCGTGCTCCTGCTCGTCTCTCCTCCTCTTCCCCACTCCTCGCTCGGCCTCCTCGCCTCCCTCCTCCTCCTTCTCCTGCACCTCTCCGCCTCTGATCCACCGCCCCCCCCCCCGAACGCTGGTGCCAGCCGCTGCGCAGAGCCTGGAGCGCGGCACCTCCGCGGACGCCCTCCGCTGGAGCCGATGGTGCCCCCAGCGAGCTTGCAAGTGCCGCCGCCCGCATCATATGGGGCAAAAGGTGTGGAGCAAGACGAAGCCAGGACGAGGATAAAGTCGGGCGAGGGTGGGTGGATCAAAAAATCTCTGAGAGCTGGCGGCTCTGGAAGGTGTCTCGGGCGCGGCCTTCTCGTAGCGTTCCAGAACACTCTGAGAGCGTTCTGGTACTGGTTGTCCTGGCCACGCCCGACGGCGGCCCTTCCCACAAACGCCTGGCGGCTCGAACCAAGTCGAGACGCCCCGTTCTTTGCAGCTTTGCGCCTTCGGAGACTGGCCCTGGGCCCCTCGACAATACGAAGACGAGGCAGGAGGAAGAACCGGGGATGTGGTCGAGAGGTCTGGATGTCCGCATCTCGAAAAAGTTGGAGCCACCGGATGTCTGGTCTCTGGTGCCGACACTCGCAGCATTGCCAAACGAACGCGGGTCGAGAGAGCGTGCCCCGTCGCCCAGGGCCGACCGACACCTGGAGACCTCCAGGACGAGGACCCGCTCCAGGGTGGAGAGCCCGAACACGAAGCGCACTCCAGGGTGCCCCCTGCGGAGCCGAGCTCGGCCGATCGCCGAGGGCCGGAGATCCACATGGAGAGAGGACCCGCTCCAAGGTGGAGGGGACGAGCACGCAGCGCACGCCAGGGTGCCCCCATCCAGAGCCGAGCTGTCTGCCGGTCGCCGAGGGCCAGAGCTCCCCATGGAGATCTCCAGGACGAAGACCCAATCCAAGGTGGAGGGCCCGAGTACGCAGCGCACGCCAGGGTGCCACTCCAGAGCCAAGCTTCGCCGTCCTCGTTGTCCTACTACTCCCTCCTGCCTGATTGCCAGCCCGCCCGAGATTCACGCCCGTGCAGCGAGGCTCTCAGCTGAGAAATTCTCCGCAGCAGAGGCCGCGATGGCAGCAGTGCGTGTGGAGACAGACGCCCACGCCCCTCGGCAGCGCGGCGTCGGAGTTCGTCCCATTTGCGCCTGCTGTTCCAGGAGTCGACGGCCGAGGACGGGGGGTTCGCTGCAGCTGCGGCGTCTTGGGAGAGAAGCGGAAGAGGATGCTGACCTCCGTCGAGGCGCTGGGGCACAGAGAGGCGCCGTGCCGACAGGTAGATCAACTGGGCAGTCATCGACGACAGCGGAGCGCTCCCAAGTGCAGTGTCGGCTCCGCCGCCCGCAGGTGAGTGCCCGCAGTCGCGAGAAATTGCCCCGCGGCGTTCGGGCTCGTTCCTAACGACTGGTGGTGCGTCTAGGGCCGTCCCGTTCGGGGCTCGCGGGGTGTCTCGGGGGTCCCTGGGCCTTACTGGGTTTTCCGTCCCCGCGGGGGCGGGGCAATGCCTGGCCGCGACAAAATCCCTCTCCTTCCTCTCCTCTCTTTCGCCTCGCTGCCCCTCCTCCCACAGAGATCCGATGTCGTGATTTTTTTCATACGGGGTCCCCGGAAGACTCAAACCCATTCCCCAGGACCTGTTTTTTTATCCGGGGCCCTACGAGGGCCCCTAGAGGCCGAAAATTGAGAAAAACCTACCCCTTGTTTTTTCAATACGTTGAATCTCTGGGTCTCTTTATCCTGGGGTCACGGGTCGGTTTTGCGTCTGCCCGAGTCGTTTCTCTGGTGTCCTCGTCGTGCCGCGGGGTAGGCGTGCAGAGTAAAGCAAATGCACGGTTTTGACTCATGCTGCGGAGTGCTCTTCACTCCCACGTGCTGCACATATCGTGCCTGATGGGTAGTGCTAAATATGTGTAGGGCTTCTGGCATGTGCACTCGATTTCCAGGAGCTCAATTCAGACTAGGACACATGCCCAGTCTATACTGGGGGTAATGCCACGTCGCTTCGCGTCAGGTCCATTCCATTCCATTCCCTTCCATTCCATGCCACCGCATCCTCCCTCCACGTCCTCATCATCCCCATTCACCCTCCGCCACCTCATCCTCCACTCCTCCTCCCGTCCCTCATCTTGCCCCCCATCACCCTACGAGCCTCCTCGTCTCCCTCTTCTGCTCCCCTCCACTGCCGAAACCTTCTCGCCGTCGCCCTCGCCCCTGCCCTCGTCGGCCGTTTCCGCCGCCCTCGTCGGCCGCCCTCGCCGCCACCACTCGTCGGCGCCGCGGCGCCGCCACCCTCGTCGACCGCTGCCGCCACCCTCGTCAGCCGCCGCCAGCCGCGCTCGCTGGCTGCCGCCCCAACGGCTCCTCGCCGCTGTCGTCCTCCCTGCCGCCGCCAGAGCCGGCACAGACCGCGAGCTGCTGGGCGGCGGCCTCCGCCACGGACTCGTCGGCGAGAGCCTTCGGCAGCGGCGGCCCGCCTCGCCCAATTGCTCCTGCTCCGCCTCCTCGTCTTCCGCCGCGCCACCTCCGCCTCCTCCTCCTCCTCCTCCTCCTCCTCCTCCTCCTCCTCCTCCTCCTCCTCCTCCTCCGCATCCTCATTCTCTTCCCTCCTCCTCCTCCTCCTCCTCCTCCTCCTCCTCCTCATCATCATAGCTCCCTCCATCCAAAACGTCGAAAGTCGTGACAAGCATCAAGACTGACATTGTTCGTCGCTTTCGGCCTCTGCGGGCCCTCGCTGGGCCACGGAAACGTAACAGAAAACAGCTGAAGATGAAAAGCTGCCCCTGCGGAAAGACGGGCCTGAACTTCCAGAGACCCTGTATAAAAAAAACAAGCATCGGATAGCTGGGTACCACCACGAACCATCATCACCGTCCTTATTCATCCTCAACCTCCTTCACCTCTTCCTCTCTCTCCTCTTGCTCCAGCTCCCCCTCCCCCTACCTGTTGCTTCTCCTCCTATGCTCCTCCTCCTCCTCCTCCTCCTCCTCCACCTCCTCCTCTTCTTCCTCCTCCTCCTCCTCCTCCTCCTCCTCCTCCTAAGAGGGTTCCAAATGTGCCATGGAAATTGTTGCCTTCCCGTTCAACTGATGGGAAGGGAACTTCACGATGCAACAGCTGGCTGCGGAGGACGATAAGTTCTAAAAAACAGGAATGAGAGGCCAAGAGGCTTATCAGCACTGTTGCGCGAACACTGTTGCGCGGAAAGGCCGGCACACCTAACATCACCGTGGTGTGGAAACGCCAGCACACCCAGCAAAAACACTCTGACAACACTGTAGCGCGGATAGGCGAATATACCCCAAATCACCTCATCCTGCTCCCCCGTCTGGAGACCACCCAAAGGCAAGCGCGAGGAATTTGGCGGTCAGGTCCGCTGATTTGCTACAGACCAGGATCCCCAATCGCATACGTATCACATCGTGTAACATAAGTCCATCAGATGCCGTCTCCTCACACCGCCTCCATCCATCTGCACGTATTGCTTCTCCTTCTCATGCTCAGCACCCCTGCTCATGGCAACTTCGGACTGTCAACGATGCTGGATCACAGCTTCTGGCTATCGTAAGCCCTGTGCGGCTATACTGTAGCTGCGCCTGGCCAGCTCATCTTGACCAGCCCAGGAAGGAGGGCATTCACAGAGTAAGACGAAGCCAAGACAAGGTCAACGTCGGGCAAGGATAAATCGGGGGTCTCTGAGATCTGGTGGTTCTGGAGGACGTATCGGGCGACGCCTCCGTTCCAGAGCGTTCCGGAACGCTCTGAGGCCATTCTGGAACGTTCTGGAAGTATCTACCTCGATTCCAGGCTTGCCTGACCACTGGGATCTTTCTGGATTCCAATAAGAATTTCGTTGGAATCCTTGGTAACCCTGGGAGGCCAGGAGAGGTCGGGGTGCGGAATGTAACTTCAAACGGGCGATAGAAGAGGGGGGGGGGTCTCAAATGCTTCTCCAGGTAACTTGCGCCTGGCCTGGTCATCTTTGCCAGCTACGGGAAGAGGGGCGCAAAGAGCGCTTTTACATTTTGATTATGACAAGTTTACTTGCATGGCATTTTCCGCCCCACCCGCCCTCCTCCTTTCAAATCAAAGGCGTGCACGTGAGCCCCCACTTGCGTGAAATTCCAATTTCCTTTCGGCCTCCCCACGCCCACCCCCCTTCTCCATGCAGGTGAATTCGCCGGAATCCACACAGAAACAAGCTCCACGACAGGAACCTTGCTTAGCGCGTCGCCGCGGCGACCCCAGCGACACGCTATGCCCTGCAGGCGGATAACGTGTGCGGGAGCCTGGGAAAACCTCAGGACCTTGTCGCTTGAACATTGGAAAGTGGCTAGCGTGTCGCGCGGATGCGGTGGGCCAGAACAAGTAGACTCACCAGAATAATATTGCAGAGAGACGAGCTCTAAGGGAGGCACTGCTGCTAAAAATGCTGGCAATGATTTTAGTCCCAACCCTCCTGTGTTCGATTGTCGCGCGTTTTCTTGCCCACACCCTCCTCCCTCCGTCGACCTCTTCCGGCAACTTGTGCGTACTCCTGCATATCGTGCGTCCTTGTGGAGGGTGCGCTGGCTGCAAACTGCGCAAATGTCGCAACTTTCGTTCGCTCCTGGGCGGTCCAGCGGAGTTGAGGGGTACGCGCATCCAGACGAGACTTCGCGGCCCCGCAGTAGCTGCGAATTGCGCGACTGTCGCCACTTTCGTGGGCTTCAGGGGAGCCCAGGGGAGTGGATGTGTACGCGCACCCAGGCAAGACCTCGCGGCTCCCTGGGCTGTTGCCAAATGCTCAAAGGTTGCCACTTTCGTGGGCCCCTGGGAACCCCAGCGGAGTGGAGGTGTACGCGCAGCCAGCCGAGACCTCACGAGAGGTCCAGCGGAGTGGAGGTGCACACGCACTAACACGAGAACTCGCGGCTCCCAAGGAGCCTGCGAACTGTTCAACTGTCGCAACTTCCGTGGGCCTTTGGGAGGTCCAGCGGGGGCGGAGGGCAGGCAAGACCTCGCGGCTCCCTGGAAACTACTAACTGCCCAACTGTCGGTAGTTGCGGGGCTTTTGAGAGGTCCAGCGGAGTAGAGGTATATGCTCACCCAGACGAGAATTCGCGACACCCTGTGTGGCTGCGAACTGCGCAACTGTCGCGATTTTCGTTCGCTCCTGGAAGGTCCAGTGGAGTAGAAGTATACGCGTACCAAGGCGAGACCTCGCGGCTCCCCGGGAGGCTGCCAACTGCGCAAACGTCGCCACTTTCGTGGGCCCGTGTGAGGTCCAGCGGACGACACCTGACGAGTCCCTGGGTGGCTGCAAACTGCCCAACTGTTGCCACGTTCGTGGGCCCCTGGGAGGTCCAGCGGTATGGGTTGTCACGCAGATCCAGACGAGACCTCGCGACTCTCGTGGAGGCTGCGAGCTGCCCAACTGCGAGGCTCCTGGGAGATCCAGCGGAGTGGGTTGTCACGTTGCTCCCTGGGTTGCTGCCAACTGCGCAACTGTCGCCGCAGGTAAGGTGATTCACAGCGGTGGCTCATCGGACCCCCAGAAGCATTAACATTGGCAGTCATTTGAGTCCTTTCTTCAGGCCGTTGATGATGAGGAGGAGGAGGAGGAGGAGGAGGAGGAGGAGGAGGAGGAGGAGGAGGAGAAGGTGGAGGAGGAGGAGGAGCAAGAACTGGAGGAGGAGGAGGAGGAGGATTCCCCGTGAACCGTGAAACGTGAAAGCCACCCACGCAATTGTCATGACACATTGTGCCTCCTTGCATGGCACCGTCAGCATAAAGCGGGCCCACTGCTATGGCCACTTGTTGCAGATGGGCCCGATGTTGCTCAGATGGGCCGTCTCGTGTAATTCATGTTCAACTTTTCGATTTCCGACCAACCAAAATGGGGGACAAAAACACAGAAACCCAAAACAGAAAAGAAAACACAAACGGCAATACACAACGGAACCAGACCGAAAAAACGGCGCGAACGAGACCCCCCCCCAAAACGGAAAAACAACTGACCCCCAACTTAGGGAAAAAGGGAAAAGACCCTGAGCTCCGACGTCTCAAAACATGTGGGACATTATGGGAAATCACGCCTGGAGCCCCGAACCCCATCTTTCTGCACCATTTTTGTTCGAGCCGGCTCCATCTGAGAGGGTCCCGCGGGGCCCGAAGCGTGGCGCAAACGCCCGGCTCGGAAAGGTTGAGTCGCCAGGCCCAGAAAGCCAGCGTCTCGATTTTCTCGAGGCACTGGCCCCGACCTCTCGACCACTTCCCCGGGACCGGTTCCTCGTCCCGAGTCGTGCTTTGACGGTCTCG